GAACCGGTACCTGGTGATCTGCAAGCGGCCCCCTGTGTCTCTGGGGGCTCCGGCAGCCCCCGGAAGTCCCCGCCTGGCCGGCGGCTTGGCGCACTGCCGCGCGGCCAGTAAAGGTGGGGGAGGGGTCTTCGCTCTTCTCTGTTCTGAAATTCTTCTTTTCCTCTCTTTCTTTTTTTGTTATTTTCCACCTCTGGTTTTTCTCTGAGTGTTCGTCTTTTTGTTGTTGTCGGTCTCTTGGGGAGATTAAGCGTTGGAACTCGAACTCTCTTTTTGTTTGGAGAGAGCTGTGGCGTTTCCCTACTGCCCCGTCGCCATCTTGGTCCCGCCCCTCCTATTCTGTCTTTTAACTTGGAAGCACTATAGATATTTTTTACTTTGTTTTGTGACTCAGTGGCCTCACTATCCTCCACATCCCCTCCCATCTCCAAATAAATGGGCACCATTTGTGTACAAATCACTTAAGATCTAGGGATACTCTGGTATTTCTATTGTTGCCTTAAAACTGTAGGCTATGACTGACCAAATTAATTCCATACCTCTCTATTGGGTTCTGACCCATTAGTTCCAGCCAAATAGAAGTAGTACAATAGGACATTAGATTAAGATGTTATTGGTATGTAAGTGTTGTAAGGAATTTGCAATTGCTGTGAGAAGGGGAAGTTTATACAGTAAGTGGTAGATGGGTGTTGACTTGAGAGAGTTATGACAGAGATCATGCATTTTTACTAGCACTGATTTGCTCTAGGGATGAGTAAAACTTGTTTCAGGAGTTTTTCTCTCTGAAATCCTAAGAATGAGACCAAGAATCTGGTTGAAAAATTCTTTGAACTTATTTTTCTGTTGTTGCCTGCTGTCAAGCTGAGCTCTAGGAAAAGAAAAAAATACGGTTTGTGGCGGGGCTGGGGCTTGCAGGGAGCCTTTTCTTGGTGTGGCCTATGATGTCTTTTGGGTCACTAGTTTTGGTGAACATTTTTTTGAAGTTGCTTTTTCAGTCCACATCCATGACAAATGTCTCAACATTGTGGGTACAGCAGCAACCAGACATTCTTAAATCATTAGAGAAGACTGATTGAGAGGAGTCCATAATGAACTTCCATGAGATCACTGGGCTTCCTAATTTCCCAGGAGTTTGTATATTCTAGAAAAGCCTGGAGTAGCTTTAATTGAATACAGTTAGTTATTATGTTCTTGAACAAATGACCTCTTAGCACTGGTGCTCTCAAGCATTTAGGAAAAAAAATACAAAACCTTTCCCCAACTCCTGATCCATGTCAGAGGTCTGAGCTCCACTTATAGTTCCTCAGCATCTCTGCTCTACATGGACAACTGCTATCTTTCTCTCTTTCTCTTTCTTTCTCTCTTTCTCATCCTTCCTTTCTTCCTTCCCTTCCTTCCGTGCCCTTTGTGCTCTCCCTCCCTCTCTTCCTTCCTTCCTTCCTTCCTTCCTTCCTTCCTTCCTTCCTTCCTTCCCATTGCAGTACTGGCTTTTAAACTCAGGACCAGGTGCTTGCTAGGTAGGTGCTCTACTACTTAAGACACTCCACCAACTTTTTTTAAATGTTGGTTATCCTCTTGCACACAATTGAGAAAGCAGGCACATTGTCACTATGTCCAGCCATTGGTTCAGATGGAGTCTAGAGAATTTTTTTGCAGAGAGGGAAGGTTCTGGTTTGACCTCAGATTATGATTCCTGATCTCTACTGCCTAAGTAGCTAGGAGTACTAAGCTTGAGTCACCATACCTATATATTTTACAATTCTTCATTTTTATTTGTTCTTCTAATGTTCTACCCTCACATTCACAGCAACTCATATTCCCTAAGTGGACATATCGCGAACGAGAGAGAGAAAAAAGCTATAAGTTAATATCTTACGCTATTTCGGGTATCTTTCTTTTAGTAAGCTGAATTGTATTGAATCTGTATTGCAAGGATTAAAGAAATATCAACCTTTATGGTTTTTAGATTATCTGTTTACTTGCTGACATTAGCTAGATTGAGTGCAAGATTTTGGTAGAGAATTTCCTTAAGTTGGTGCTTAAGACTTTGAAGTTTCTGTGAGAGTGATAGGGTGGTTGATGAGTAATGTTAAAGTCAGTACTGTCAGATTTTATAGATTAAATTATCAATATAGATTTACTGGGAAGTATAGGAAAGGATCTTTGATTCTGGACCATATGGTTGGTATATAAAGCTTTTGAGAATAGAAGTATTAGAACAAGCCTTCCAATAAAAAATAATTTTTCTTGAAACTTAAGTTCAATGTACCAGGTAGATACAGGACACATTCCTTAAAAGGGAAATGAAGGTTGAATTTTATTTTCTCCCTGTCTCTCTCTCTTCCCTTCCTCCCTTCTGTATTCCTCTCCCTTTATCTTCAAAAGAAGACTCCATTCCTTCCTTCCTGCCAGGGAAGATGTATTGAGATATAAAGAAGCACTAATTAGGATAAAGAAGCATTGACCAAGAAAAGAGAAGATGGGTACCCGTTTAGATATCTTCATTTTTCATATCATCTATGCAAGGCTTCTCAGATGATCATCTTAAGATGCTATAAGAAACTATGTTCTTGGAAGAAACTGTGTTTACCACTACCAGTATGGTAGTGATATGGAACCTATTTTCCAGAGATATGGAACCTAATTTTTAAACCTAAACCATCTACAAAACAATTTTCACTTTAAGGGAAGCAGTGCAAAGTTACAAATGCATAACTATTAAAATACACATTTTTTAGCAAAAGGAAGAAGTCACAACAAATTATAAACTTTAAAAACTTTAAACCTCATAAAAGTTGAACTTCTTCAATATTGACAGTAACTCCTAACACAATTTATAATATATTCTTTCTATAGTTATTCTATTTTGTTTTGGTTTTGAGTCCAGATTTCAGATGTAGTGCAGAATGGCTTACAACATCCAGTCCCCTTGTGTCAGTGTCCCAAGGGCTGGCATAATTTATAGTTTCCTTCCTCCCTCCCTCTTTCTTTCCCTCTCTCTCTCTCCCTCCCTCTCTCTCTCTCTCTTTGTCGGTCATGGGCTTAAACTCTAGACCTGGGCACTGTCCCTCAGCTCTTCAGCTCAAGACTAGCACTCTACCACTTGAGCCACAGCACCACTTCCAGCTTTTTCTGCTTATATGGTGCTGAAGAATCCAACCCAGGACCTCATGCATGCAAGGCAAGCACTCTACCACTGAGCCACCTTCCCAGCCCCCATAATTTTCTTCTTTAATCACTTCCCTTATGGAAATTCTTTGTTATAATTTCTACTGTGGGACCAAAAAAGACATTTTTCCTTTACTTAGAATGTTTAATATTTATTTTGTATTACTGATAATAGAGAAAAAGAATTTTAGCTTTGCAACATGTCACTGGTAGTGGAAACTATTTCAGAGACCTTAAGTCTTTCATTAATTTCAATGCATGAATTTCAAATGCATTGTTAGGATCCTCCTATGGTCTTTATGGGAGTTTGTGTAGTGACATTAATCTAGTTTGGATCATCTCAGATATATGTGTATATATTACTCTTTTGTTGTTTAATGTGCCAGTACCAGGGCTTGAACTCAGGACTTTGTGCTCTCACTCCACCGCCCTACTTTTGCACTCAAGGTGCCACACCTCCAGCTTTCTGTTGGTTAGTTGGAAATAATTCGAGATGTTTCTGCTATAGCTATTACTGAATGGAGATCCTCAGGTCTCAGCCTCCTGAGTAGGATTATAGACAGGCATGAGCTCCTGCACTTGGGGAACTATTATATTATAAATGTATTGTTTTCGATACTTAGAGCTTGAACTTGGGGGTTGGGTACTGCTGTCCCTGAGCTTTTTTGAACAAGGCTAGCACTGCACCATCTGAGTTACAACTCCACTACCAGCTCTTTGGCAGTTAATTAGAAGTAAAAGTCTCATGGACTTTCCTGCTCAGGTTGGCTTTGAACCATGATCCTCAGAGTTCAACCTCCTGAATTGCTAGCATTACAGGCATGAACCACCTGTGCCCAGATCTTAGTTTTATTTTTCTTTCTTTCTTTTTTCAGTCATTTGAAATGATGATGAAATCTTTGGACACTTTTCTTAGAATATGAGAAGGGCTCTTCTGATGCATTTAATACAAAATACTGCATACAGTAGAACAGGTCCGCTAAAGGACCTGTTCCTACTTCCACATTTCATTGCTGAATTGACATTTTGTTAATGGTTTACATTTTTATTTTCTTTCCTTAATATCTGACATAACACCTTGCATTTTGTATTCTCTAGATATATAGGGGCCTTTTTTGATGAGGAGGGAAAGAAATGGATGCATTCCCAGCCAGGATACATGCTGAATACAGAACTTCTCCACTTTCCAGAACTGTTGTATATGTATTTAAGCAAACTGAGAGACTTCCCTAGAATTCTTAAAACAACAGGCATTCCCATGGCTTTGTTCTAATAAGACAGAGATCCTCTTCTCAAGGCCCTTAAGGTGCATGAATTTTCAAATTCCTTTCTGTCTTTTGTGTTTACTGATTGCTAACTGGTAGGAACAGATTGTTCACAGATTATTCTTGCCATACTCTTAGAAGATGTCCAATTTTTGACATTTTTCCTCTTTGAAAAACTATAATCAAACATGAATGCATTTAAACAGCACTCATTTAGAATCCAAAGCACTTGATTCCCTTTTCATGGAACACAGTGCTGTGCTAGCACTGTAGAAGATAAAGTTAAAGGACCTTGGAGTCTGATTGTCTTGGATGAAATGGAATATAATAATGAGGGACAGTGAATAAAAAAATGTAAACCACAATACTAATATAAATTGTCATAAGAATTATTTATTGTTTTTGATGTCTCCAGTATTGACAGTTAAATGGGAGACTGTCAATAGTTATACAAAGACAAACTTAGTTCAGTACTATGTTGGACAAGTCAAGACAGAGTTACCCTACTTGTCTCTTCTGTTTTTGCTTTAACATTTTCTTATGGACATTATAACCATCTATTGGGGTAATTTTGTAAGTACTTATCTTCCAACTTCAGCAATTTCCAACATATGGCCAATATTGCAATATTGTCTTTTTTTTTTTATAACAACCTAACTCTATCTATCTAACCTATCAATTTTTGGCCCTCCATTCTTTTTCTCCCCCAGATTCCTTAGTCCTATGCCCGGCCCCACCCTTCTCTTTATTTCATTTTCAGCACTGCAGCTATGATGACATTCCTCTGCCAGGACACACATCCATAAAGATCAGTGCTGCACTCAGTCCCTCAGGGGGAGGAGCCTTCACAGAAGTACCTCATTCTCTGTCTTCTTCTACCGTGGAAAGATGGGTCCATAATGGTGGCTGTGAAGACTGGAGCACCCCTGAGAGTCACTCTTGTGCTGCTCTGGCTTGCGGTGGTTCTGTCCCCTTCTAGCCTCTTCCAGGCGGGGGCCACCCAATACCCAAGTTCCCCTGAAGTGGTGATCCCCTTGAAGGTGACCAGCAGGGACAGAAGTACAGAGACTCCAGGATGGCTCTCCTACAGCCTGCTCTTGGAGGGCCACAGGCACATTGTCCATATGAGGCCCAAGAAGCTGTTGGTTTCCCCAAACCTCCCTGTGTTCACCTATACAGAACAGCATGCTGTCCTTGAGGACTACCCCTTGGTCCCTAGGGACTGTTACTATCATGGTTATGTGGATGGAGCCCCTGAATCTTTGGTAGTTTTCAGCATCTGTTTTGGAGGCTTTCGGGGAATCTTACAAATAAGTGGTATTAATTATGAAATCGAACCCATCAAACACTCTACAGCATTTGAACACTTGGTTTATCGGTTATATGGTAATGAGACACAATTCTCACCCATGAGGTGTGGTTTAACAGAGAAGGCAGTAGCACACCAACACCTGGGATTTGAAGGAGCTGAGAACTCTGGTCTGAAACAAAATTCTTCTGGTGACTGGTGGACCCATACATGGTTTCTGGAGTTGGCTGTCGTGACAGACCATGATTTCTTCATTTACTCCCAAAGCAACTTATCAAAGGTGCAAGAGGATGTATTTCTTGTTGTCAATATAGTGGATTCTGTGTATCACCAG